TTCCTCTCAGTTCAGGCCAGGCCAGACATATTCCTCCTCTTGCCCTCACTTCTCTGTCCCCAGCCCCCACATGTCCTTGAACCATGGGGGAACTCCCTCCCTCCACTGGCATGCCCTGCTTCCTTCCTCTCTTTCTCTCTTCCCTCCACGGGCAAATTTGCATTAGGTAAAACTCACTGTAAGTAGAGGTCTGCAGAGTGGCTCACTTAGGTGAACTGAAAATTACCTACATGTAGATATAAATGTATGTGTTTGTGCATATGTATATGAATATAGAGAGAAATATCTACATCTTTAGATATGTAATTTTTCAATGTTGTCTCCCTTATTAGAATGTGAGCTCCATAAGGGCAAAGACCACGCTTTTGCCTTTTTTTCATCTCTGGTGCTTAGCACAGTACCTAGAACACAGTAAATAATTAAAACTTGTAAACTGACCGTTGTCCTATTAACAATCAGCAAGTAGACTTAATTACTTGTTAGCAAAGGCATTTACTGAGATGACATAGTAGGAACAATTGGTACAAAACATCCTGCCCCTCCCCCACCCCAAATCTGGGTTCACTTTCTCCAAATACACACAGAGTCCACGGGAAGAGTAGGCTCAAGCTTAAAGTATGTCAGCAACACGGTAAAAGGTATGTAGGATACGCGTGTGGCAGAGGGTAGCTCACGATCCCTGGCCTTTCTGTATCTGTAGCGTTCTCAGGCAGCGCCCCCCAGGTGGAGCTCTCTGCTGGGCTACGTTCTGGATGTGCTGTGACTTCATTTATTAAAGTGGGGTTTGTAATGGGGTCATGGAACGTCTTTCCTTAAAAAAATAATGAAATAATCCCTCTTCAATAGGAGTTCACATTCCAATGGAGGAGATAACAAGTTTATATATATATATATATATATATATATATATTTATATATGTATATATAGACACACACACATACACACATATGTATATATGTATATATATACATAATATATGTGAGTGTGTATGTATACATATGTGTACATATACACACAGAATAAATACAAATAAGTGCAAGATAATTAGGGATGCAGGGTCCTAGCAGTTGGGGAGAGCAGGAAAGGCTCAAATATGAGTCCATCATGTGACATGGCAACCAAGAAAGCTAATATAATTTTCATAGCTTCCTTGAGAGGTATGTCATGAAGAAATAAGATAGTGATAGTCTATTGTACCCTATCTTGGTCAGGCTTCATCTGGAGTACTGTGTTCCATTTTGGGTATTCCATTTTAGGAAGAACACTGATAATCCAGAGAGTCTCCAGAGCAGGGAACTCTCTGCCCAATAGGATTATTGGCCTCCATAAGAGAATGAGCTGAAGGAACTGGGGATGAAGGAACTAGAGAATACTTAGGGGTTATCATCATGGTCTTCAAGTATTTGTAGAGCTGTAGAAAATGGATTAGACTTCTGCTTGACCCCAGAGCACAAAACCAGGAACAAAGAAAAGTTGCAAAGAGGCAAATTTAGATTTTACATAAGGAAAAACTTGCTAACGATTAGATCTCTGTTAAAGTAGTATGAACTACCTTCAGAGGTAGAAGTTTCTTCTTTGTAGGAGGTCTTTTTTTTAATATAATAAATTTATTCATTTATTTTTGGTTTTCAACATTTACTTGCAAAAGATTTTGAGTTCCAAATGTCTCCCCATCTCTCCCTTCCCCCCCAACCCAAGACAGCATGTAGGTCTTTTTTAAAAATAGATTTTTATTGCTATCTTTTGTTTTTTATATCACCTAGATTTCCCCCTGGATCCAGAAGAGGATACCTTATGACAAAGGAGTCATCCTTTATAACAAAGAAAGAAAGAAAAAGAGAGAGAAAGAAAGAAAGAAAGAAAGAAAGAAAGAAAGAAAGAAAGAAAGAAAGAAAGAAAGAAAGAAAGAAAGAAAGAAAGAAAGGAAGGAAGGAAGGAAGGAAGGAAGGAAGGAAGGAAGGAAGGAAGGAAGAAAGGAAGGAAGAGGAAAGGAAAAGTTTCAGTAAAATTGATTAAAACATCAAGAAAGTTTGACATTATATGCAATGCTCCACACTTGTGGATCCCAACCTTTGTAAAGGAGTGGGAGGAGCTGTCTTCTCATATATCTTCTTTAAAACCAAGCTTGTTCTTGATAATTTCACAACGTTCAGTTTGATTGTTTTATAGTTCTTGTTCTTTCCATATATGTTGTTTCAGTCATTGTGTACAGTGTTTTCCTGGTTGTGCTTACTTTATTTTGCATCAGTTCATGTAAGTCTTTCCATACTTCTCTGTATTCATCATAGTCATCATGTCTTACAACACAGTAAATTCCATTATATTCATATGCCACAGTTTGTTTAGCTGTTTCCCAGTCAATGGGCATCCACTTTCCCCCCCTAATTTTTGCTGTCACAAAAAGTGTTGTTATAAATATTTTAGTGTATAAGGAGTCTTCCTTTTGACTGATGATCCTCTTAGGGCGTATGCTTAGCAGTAGAATCTCTGGGTCAAAGGATATGGACACTTTATATGCATAATTCCAAATAGCTTTGCTGGAGGTCTTTTAAGAAAAAGCTAGGTGAGTAATTTCCAGGTACACTGTAGAGGGAATTCATTTTTTACATATGGATTTGAATAGATTGCCTCTGGTATCCCTTTGAATGCTGAGATCTTGTGATGCTTTGATTGCATAATTGGCATTAGCAAGAATGGGGTTTTTTTTTTGTTTTTTAGAAAAAACACAGAAAAAGGGGTAAAATAGTCACTATCTTTGTTCATATAGACAGTACTATATTTTGTCCCTAAGGGATAATAATAAAATAAAAAATATATAAATAATCTAAAAATTGGCCTTTTGTTTACTAGAAAACATTCCACAGACTTTATTAAGGACACAAAATGGAATAAATTTAAAAGCAGAGCCCATCAGAAATTCTTGTCCCAAGAGGAAATTAAGGGATGAAACATTTTGTTGTTGCACTGGCTCTGAAATCCTAATGCCCTGCAGTAACTTGCCCCTGATTTGTTCATCAAAACAATCGATATACTGCTTAATAGCATTTCAGACTCTCTGCAAAACACTATCTTTTTTTCACTATCCATTTGGGCAATTATTTCAGCTTCTCACTCTTTAAATCTTCTTTGTGCTTGGCCCCAAGAAAAGTTGAGAAAACGTACCTCCCTTCCCTCTCTGCAAAGGCAGGAAACTATGGGTGTGGAAAATTGCACATACTGTCAGACAGCATTGATTTGTTTATTGGCTTTGATTTCATCTTCTGAATACTGCCTGTTCATATTCTTTGACCAGCAGAACTGCTTTTAAAAAGTCTTCTTTTAAAAGGAATTCTTTGTTACAAGGGATGACTTGCTGGGGAGGGGATAGGGATACATTCAGAAATGAAGATGACGTAAAAACAAAAGATGTAACAAATATAAAAGAATAACAAATGAGTGTATAAGATATAACAATATATAGAGAAGACTGTATGATATAAAAGATACAAAAACAAAAGATATGACAAATAATAAGAAATGTAACAAAAACAAAGCCATGACAAATGACAAAAATAACACATGAAGGGTAAAGCATTTCTTAAGGGCTTGCATGTGCAAGGCATTGTGCTAAGAGCTGGGTTGTGCTAAGAGCAAGACAGTTCCTGTCCTCAAGAAGCTTCTAGTCTAAGGGAGGAAGGCAGTACATAAAAGGAAAGGTAGGGGAGAGGAATGGTACATTCTGGTGGACGTGGTTTGGAAATGATCTTTAAGTGATTGAGGAGGGTTGGGACCCAGAGTCAGACTCCAGGTGATTCCAATTCGAGCAGATTGAGGAGGCTAGCTGTAATGTTGGCAGTATGGTCTATGTGACTGGGAAGCAAATTAAGAAATTTTTTTTAATTTTAAAAAGAAAATAAACCTTTTGGAACATTTACATAGAGAAAAGGATCACACAACCAGAGATTTAGAATTGGAAAGGACCTTATGGGCCATCTGGTGCAACCCCCTCGTTTTCCAGTTGAAGAAAAGTAATCTAATAGGATTAAGTGAGTTGTCCAAGATGACACAGAGAGGGTAAACAGTGGAGCTGGGATTTGAACCCAGGGCCTCTGACTCTAGTTTTAGCACTCTCCACACTGCACCATGATGCTAAAAAGTCAAAGATTATTTCAATACCTGCTCTCATCCTGTGTGAGAGGAAGAGTAAAAGTGAAATGAATTAGAAGTGGAAAAAATGGAATGTCTGGTATACAAAATTACCAGCACCTTCCTAAGATGTAGTTAGATAGCCTGATATATTGGAAAGAGCCCAGAACTCAGAGTCAAAAGACCTGGGTTCTAGTTCTGACTTTCACACTTATTAGCTGTGTGACATGTGCCTCAATTTTCTCATCTGTAAAATGGTGACATCTACCTTACCTATGTCAAAAGATTTGTTTTATTAGGTTCACATGAAATAATGAATATGAAAGTGTTTTGACAACTATAAAAGTGAGTTAATACTGTTCATAGATACATGCTGTATAATATGTTTTACAGTTGCTATAACAAAGTCTTTTAGTTGCCAAAACTAATAAACAGCCTGGTATTGTGGGGAAAAGATTGGATTTGGAGTCAAAAAACCTAGATTTGAATCTCATTTCTACTACAGATTACCTGTGTGACCTTGAGCAAATTACTTATTCTCTTTGGACCTCAGTTCCCTCCTCTGTAAAATGAAGGAGTTGTATTAGATTACCTTTAAGGTCCCTTCTAGCCCTAAATCTGTCATCCTAAACCCTTTTAGTCAAGACTTAATATGACTGACCTCATCCTGAGTTCTGCTACAGATTGAATTAATTTATGAAGATGTTACAGGGTATTTAATTTTTTACATTTAAAAAAATCATTTTATTGCTCTAATAAAAGTGCCTAATGAAAATTATATAAGAAATGAGGAAATTTTTCATTTTTATACTGGGCTCTGAGCTCTTGGGAAGAAATAGGTTACATTCAGCCTCTCATTCTTCCTTTGGTCCAGGTTTAAAAGTGAGTTTTGTATTATCTTTTTCATCTGCACCCTGAGAATTTCCCCTCCATAAAGAGCTTCCGTACATGCTGATGGGAGTCCTGCCCACAGATGAGGTAAGAGAAAAACAGTGAGTCAGTTACTCCGAGCACACTGATGCCCCAAACAAGGGTCATTGAACGAGGAAAGAGAGGCACCCAAGCAGCACCAGCTGCCCTGTCAGTTTGGAGAACTAAAAGTGGGACAAGTGGATGGTCCCCAAAGGGCTTCTCTGAGGGTTTCAATAAAAAGGAGCTGAAATCTGTGGCCACCATCACAGCCTCTTTAAGGGAATAATTTTCACTGGAATGATTTTGGTTTCTCCCTGCCCTCCCCCATCCTCTTTGAGGCAAAGACACTTAAGTTTTATACAGGGTGTCTCAAAAGTTTGGTAAAGTTTTAAGCGTTAATAGCTTTTAAAAGGCTACATGGTTAAATGTTACTAGAGTGTTAGTCACTAGGGCCTAAAAATGGGGGAAATAGCCAATGGGGGCTCAAACCAATAGCAGAGGAAAGGGATCCGTTCAAACCCTTTTGAGTTTCCTGAGAACAGTGAGCAGGGCCCTGACAGAACGGGGCCAAGGTGTGTATGGTACATCGAGAATTCTCTTTATAATACTTCTTCACATGATAAGAGTTTAAAAAAAAAAAAGTCCTCTCAGGAAGAAAGTCCCTTAGTCCTTGCTCTCTCAGTCACTGTCCAGTCTTCAGAATTAACAGCCTCTCTGGAAGCTTTTACTTTACTCAGTAGACATTGGGTAGTCACTGAAGGCTTTTGAATAGGAAAACTTTAAGCTTTAACAGCTTAAACTGCCTTAAGACTTTTGGGACATCCTGTCCACGCAGATATTGTTTGTTCCCTCAGCACCTTCATCCTTATCTGGTTGGACTTAGGCTTTGCAGTGCTACAAGCTATGACTCTAACCCTTGGCTGATTGGGGCAAGGATGTGGGTAAGGGACTCTTGAATCGTGATCACAGTTATCTGGAGTATGGGTTCTTAACCTGTCTGGGGTCTGAGAACTTCTTGTTTTGTTTTGTTTTTTAGTTTTGATAACTGTATTTCAATATCATTGGCTACCTTTGTCACCCAACATATCTTATTTTATGCATTTTTAAACACTATTTTGAGTACCGGTCCATATATTTCACCAGATTACCAAAAGGATCCATGACATCCTAAAAGGTTAAGAAATACTGTCCTAAAAGCATCATAGTGTCATGGATAGAGGGCCAGCTTTGGAGTCAGGAAATTATAGATTTTAATCTGTGTGACTGTTCAAAAGTCACTCAATCTCCTAGTTCCCCCCCCCCAAAGCAATTGCCTAAAACTTTAATTTGCAGAATTGTCAATCTGCATTGATGGAGGGAGTTTCTATATTAGGAATTCCTTTCACTGATAAAATCAAAGGTTCAGATCCAAAATAATAATTGTTATTGTAATGAATCACATTTATACAGCTCTTTGTCATCTAACATTGCCAACTACATACTGCTGCATGTCCTGGAGACATCTCAAATTCAAAACATGTTCTATGCAGAATTAATTGCTTTTCCCCCAAAGTTTTCCCATTCCTAATGTCTCTATTTATTTTTGACGGCACCAGCATCTTTCCAATCTCCCTGGTTTGAAGCCTTGAAATCAAACTCATCCCTTCCCTTTCTTTCTACTTCCCCACTATTCAATCAGTGACCAAGTCTCTCTAATTCTACCTTCTTGTCTCTCACAATCATTATATTCTCTCCCCTCACAAAGCCCTTACCCTAATTTATTCCCTCATCACTTGGACTATTATAATAGCTTTCTAATTGTTTATCCTGCCTTTAGATCCCCTTTTTAATTCCTCCCCCACACTGTTGCTAAATTGATATTCCTAAAGCACAGGTTGGATCATGTTATCCCCTAGCTCAAGAAGTTTCAATAGCTCCCTTTTGCCTCTAGGAGAGTACACACTTTTCTGTTTGTTCTGTAAAGCCCTTTACATTTGAACTTTAGCCTACCTTTCTAGGCTTATTGAACTCTCTTTCATGCACTCTAAACTCCAGCCAAACTGGCCTATTTTCTGTTGTTGTTCTGTCATTTCAGTCGTTTCTGGCTGTTTGTGACCCCATTTGGGGTTTTCTTGGCAAAGATACTGGAGTGGTTTGCCATTTCCTTCTCATTTTTCAAATGAGGAAACTTAGGCAAACTTGGTTAAGTAGCTTGCCTGAGGTCACACAGCTAATAAGTGTCTGAGGCCAGATTTGAACTCAGGTCTTCCTGATTAGAGGCCTCGTACTCTCTCCACTACACCACCTACCTGCCCAATGCTAATTGGTTAAAAAAAAAATGGGGCAAAGAGCTGATCAGGGCTCAAGCTAATAGCAGAGGAAAGAGACTCTCCTCCCAATCTTCTTCAAGGTGTCTGAAAACAGCAAGCAGGGAGATAGATGTAAGGAGTGGGGCAAGGGTGTGCATGTTGCATCAAGAATTTCCTTTACAATTTTTCTTCACATGAAAAGAGTTAAAAAAAAAAAAACCAGTCTCCTTAAGAAAGAAAGTCCCTTAGCCCTTCCTTTCTGCCTTCTTACGGTCACTTTCCAGTCTTCAGAATTAACAGCCTCTCTGGAAGCTTTTACTTTTATTCAGTAGACATTGGGTAGTCAATGAAAGCTTTTGAGTAGAGAAGTTACATGATCAAATGGTGTATTAGAAAGATGACTTGGACAATAGCACAAAGCATGCATTGGAGAGGGGATAGAATGGCCCAGAAAGACAAGGGAATTCTCAACTCAAGTAGCTATTTTGGGATGTTTTATTTTATGTTGAGGGTTGAAACTAGCCAGTCTCTCAGGTTAATGCTAGATATCAGCTTGCTGTGGTAATGCTGACTAGCAGTTGGTCAAAGGTAGCACGAAAGTTGTGTTTCTGTGTGATCAAAACGATTCACAGGTGAACCACACATATTCATCCTGTTTCTACCCCAGAAATCATGACACCTACCTGCCAGTTTTATGGTTCATCAGCTTCTCTACCACCCTCTCCATCCATCTCATTCTTTTGTCTTCTCTTCCTCTCACCCCTCTTAATATCCCTGTCTTTCCTGGTTAAGGACCTTGTAAAGTGGGGATTCCCTGATTTTTCTGACTGCAATCCTGCCCCTTGAGTCAGAGATAGGTCTTTCTAATCCGTTCTTTCCAGTTAGATTGAGAACATATGTAAACAACTTTGGAAACTTCAAAGTGTTATATAAATGCTAACTATTACCAAGGCATCAGTTTTCCTCAACTCTAGGGACAGTACTTAGTCCTGAAAGGTGCAGTGAGACTAGAGAAGGGAGGAAACCCTTTCAAAGATCTGAACAGAAACAAGGAAAACAGGTTCTAGTTGATGAAACCTTAAACAGTAGCTCTCAACAGCCGCTCTCTCTCTCTCTCTCTCTCCCTCCCTCCCTCTCCTTCCCTTCCTCACTTTCTCTCTCTCCCTCTCTCTTTCTCCCTCCCTTCCTCTCTCTTTTCTCTCTGTCTCTCTGTCTCCCTTCCTTCCCTCCCTCACTTTCTCTTTCCTCCTTCCTCTCTTTCTCCCTCCCTCTCTCTTTTCTCTCTATCATCTCTCTCCCTCTCTATCTCTGTCTCTGTCTCTGTCTCTTTCTGTCTGTCCGTCTGTCTCTATCTCTCTGTTTCAGTCTGTCTGTCTCTGTCTCTCTCTTTTTTTCTCTCCCTCTCCCTCTCCCTCTTTCTGTGTCTCTCTCTTTTTGTCTTCTCTCTCTCTCTCGTCTGTCTGTCTCTCCCTCTCTCTCTGTCTCTCTCTGTCTCTCTGTCTCTGTCTCTCCCTCTCTCTGTCTCTCTCTCTCCTTCCTTTCTCCCACCCACTCACAATTTTCAAATTTAATTCCTTATGCTGCTTTAAGTTAGAGACCAATAGTTCCTTCAGGGAGCTGACACTTTCAGTTAGCAAACAAAAGCTATCAGCAATTCAGTAATTGAACTAGAGTTTATTGTCCACTAAGCACCAGACACTTTGAGTGGTTTTGGAGATAAAAAGACAAAAACAAAACAATCCCTGCCTTCGAGGTATATTCTATCCCACCCACTCACTTACCTATTTTTGCCCTACAGGTAACTCAGAGCTTCTCAAACCTGGCAGAACTGCTCAGAACTGCTCAGAGCATAATAGCATGTCCAGAAGCAAAGGAGTAACCGGGACTCAGAGAAATCAGCAGAGAACAAGCAGAGTCCTGGGCAGGCCAGGAGCCACAGCAAGTTATTAGTACAGACATCTGAGGAAGCACCAAACCTGAAGCAAAGTCAAGTTCACTTGACTTTGGTATGCATTGTTATTAGTGGTGTCTGCCAAATGCCTAACTCCACTAGTAACAATGGTACAGATATGAAAGAAAAGATAATCACTGTGGTCAAATTTACGTAATTTAAAACAGTGCTGAGAAGAGGCATGGGGCCAAGCAGGTCATTAGACTGTGAGCTCTTTGAGAGCAGGAACTGGTTTTTGATTACCTTTCTTTGTATCCTCAGTACTTAGGACAATGCTAGCACATAGTCGGTGTTTTATAAATGTGCCTTGACTTGACAGGTGACAGGGAAGATGGCTCACCAACAGTAGCCTGGGGAATCATTTTGAAGCTAGATTATAAAACTGAGAGCTGGTTTCTGGCTGAGGACAGTTTGCTGGCCCCTCTTGATGAAGTAATCTGACTTGGTTCAGGGGCAAGAAAAGGCTTCTTCCTGCCCCCCACCTCCCCTAATATAATTTTAGTGGCAACATTATTTATAATCCTAGGAAACAAAAATGTTTACTCAGTAAAAATGCTTACTCAGTAAGCAAACATTTCTGTAGCTACTGGACATTTCTGAGAAATAAAGTCAGAAAGTATGAGTCCAGAGGACCATTTTAAAGATCTCCATGAGAATTAATTAATTGACTGAGAATTGCTCTCCCCCCACCTTTTACACCAGTAAACAGAACCTCTTCTACATTCTTTGAGAAAAGATTGAGGTGCACAGTAGTTTGCTCATTAAATCACACTGCCTGGAAGTGGGTGCTGGATAAGTGTTAGTGGACATAAGCTTAATTTAACTTAAGATGGAGGCTCATCTAAAGGAGGGGGGGGGTCCCCATAAATAAGTTTCTGAGCTGATCTGAAAATATTTGGCTTGTAGGCCCACAATTTAAATGTTTCTTGCTTGTTAGTTAAATGTAATGATTTTCCCATATAGAACCATAACTAGAAATTCTGGCATCTAGGACAAAGGGGATAGGTGGGTCTGGTGGTAGAAGATTGCAACCAAGGGAGAGACCATAGGAATGGTGTAAAGTTGAGCTGGGTCTGGAGGAACTCACCTGCTGGGTGTGGAAAAGCTTTGAGGATCCCCCCTTCAGGGTATACAAACTTTCACTTTTATTGTAGGATAGTGGAGAGAGGCTTTTCTGTGATTAATGGTTGGGTACAGTCATGGTAGAGGCAGCTAAGTGCCTCAGTGGATAGAGCATTGGGCCTGGAGTCAGGAAGACCTGAGTTCAAATGTGGCCTCGGACTCTTACTAACTGTGTGATCCTGGGCTAGTCGTTTTGCCTCTTTTTGCCTTAATTCACTGAAGAAGGAAATGGCAAACCACTTTAGTGTCTTTGCCAAGAAGACCATACTGTCCATGGGGTCACAAAGAGTCAGACATAACTGAACGACAATTACAACAGCTATCAGGGTTGGGGAGGTAGGGAATATCCCTCAGGAAGTTTGGCCAGTGCTCTTTTAATGCCGTCAATATCTGTCAACCTACCCCTAATCCCCCCAACTCTCCTCACCAATGAGAAAGAGCAGCAGGAGTGGCAAGATTTTGCCTCACTTTGAGACATAGAAAGACCGTGCAGCAAACAGGACAAAAACTAGCCCAAGAAAGGAAGCAGGTACAGCTGTGATGGACAGGGACTGGCTTGGGACCAGTGGCAGCAATGAGACTGTACCCCATTTTATTCTCAGCTCTTTGTCACCTACTGCTATGAATATTTTGGTGTAAATTAGATCTTTATTTTTTTCTCTTACTTTTTGGAGTAAATTCTCAGTAGTGAGATCATCAGGTCAAAAGGTATGGATAATTTAGTCGCTTTTTTGTTGCATGTTTTCAAATTGATATACAGAATGGTTAGACCAATGCATAGATAGCCCCACTAACACTGAGTTATTTTGTGCAGCTTCCTACAACTTCTTCATCATTTACATTTACATTGTTATTGTCTTTTACCTGTTTGCTAAGTGTGAAGTTAAGTCTTGGAATTGTTTTAGTTTATATTTCACTTACTATTAGTGGTTAGGAGCACATTTTCATATGACCATTTATAATTTGCAATTGAAAAAGTTAATTCTGAACTTAACCCCTCAAAACGAGCATTTCCATATAGACTGCAAACCCCACAAAAAGAATCACATATAGGAACCATAGATCTCTATTCCATGCCGATTGCTTGAAAAAAAAAAAGAAAGAAAGAAAAGCAGGGGGCAGCTAGGTGGCTCAGTGGATAGAGCACTGGCCTTGAAGTCAGGATAGACCTGAGTTCAAATCCGACCTCAGACCAAACACTTGACACTTACTAGCTGTGTGACCCTGGGCAAGTCACTTAACTCCAATTGCCTAAAAAAAATTTTTTAAAGCATATAATAAATCCTACATATTAACATTTAAAACTGTCCTGTTTGTCTGCATTTCTTTCTGAACTTCTTCTGTCTGTTTTTGTATATTTTAAAAAATGTTTAAATGGCCTTTTTCTGGTTTATCACTATTACTCTCCCCACTCCAATCTCTTACCCCCATCTTCCACTCCCTACAAAATTAAAAACCGAGAGGGAGAAAAAATAACCTGGGTAGCAAATAAGCATAGTTAAGCAAAACACGTCTGTATAGCGGCCATGTCCAAAAAGTATGTTTCTTCCCGCTCCTTCAGTTTACAATTTCTCTTTCAGGAGGTAGGTAGTACATTTCATTATGTGTCCTCTGGAGATATGGTTGGTCATTGCATTGATCAGAGTTCTTAAGTCTTTGAAAAACTTTTTGTTTACAATGTTATCAGTGTATCCATTGTCCTAGTTCTGCTCACTTCATTCTTCATCTGTTCATACTATTCAGGATTCTCTGATATTTGAAATGATATTTCATCATTTATTATGGCAAAATAATGTTCCATTGTATTCAAAGATCATAATTTGCTCAGCAATTCCCCAGTATCAGTTCAAGGCACTTCTTTACATTCTAACTCTTTTCTTTTTCCTTATAATCTCCCTTTCTTGTACTTCAGTTTCCCTTGACCTACCCCGTCAGGTTGCTATGGTAACCCTATGTATCTTGGGGAAGATTCCTCTTATTGAAGCTATTCTGAAAATCTTGCCTTCTGCTTTACTTTGATGTTGGAAGTTGGGATACCAGAAGGGATGTATTTTGTAGCATAAATATTGTACTTCTACTAGGTTGTGCTAGGAGAAAAGGAAAGGAATGCTTTATAGTGGTCATGGTTTTCATACCTTAATGAAAAGGCATAAAAACTTCTTCCTCCCTGGCAAGTTCACTTGAAAGGGCCTAGCTGATAAAATGAACAGAGCTATAAACTTTGGAGCAAAATCTTTACTCAAGTTAAATGTGAAATGAATCATTCTCAAAACTTAAAATTGTTGAAGCTCTGAGATTTGTTTGTAAATGGGATTTGTTTGTAAATGGGATGTTCTATCAGAATGTTAATGTAATTAATTAATTAATGTAATAACATTAATGTAATGTTAAAGATATTATGAGCAAAGGTTAGGGTAGAGCAAGAAAATGCCCCATGAACTTAGATAAGTGCTTTGGTTATAAGCCTTAGTCTTTCTCTTTTTGGAAAATCATATTCAAATATTTCCTCTCCTTTAAAGTAGTTACAGCATAGTCATGTGTGATCCTGATTGTGGTTCCTTGAACCCTTCCTTTCTGGATACCCACAGTATTTTATTTTTCTTTTACATAGAAGCTCTGGATTTGGGCTGTGAAATTCTTGAAAGTTTTCATTTGCAGGATTCTTTCAAAAGGTGACGTATATATATACTTTCTTTCTTTCTTTCTTTCTTTCTTTCTTCCTTCCTTCCTTCCTTCTTCTCTCTCTCTCTCTTCTCTTTATCATCTGTCTCTCTTTTCTCTTTATCATCTCTCTCTCTCTTTTCTCTTTATCATCTCTCTCTCTTTTCTCTTTATCCTCTCTCTCTCTCTCTCTCTCTCTCTCTCTCTCTCTCTCTCTCTCTCACTCTCTGTCTCTCTCTGGTTCGAATAGATCTAGGCTGCTTTATGGTCTGGGGCTTCTCTTAACTCATGCTATTTCTTCATCACATTCAGAATTTTCTTCTGTTTTCTCATATCTCTAGTCTTATTTTCTAGGGTGGAGCTTTGTGCTACAGCCAGGCTCAGCCCCTCCCTATGCTTTTGGATGGGGTTAGGCAGGGGGCTAGGTAGGCCCTTCCCCCTGGTCCTGTTACCTCTGCAGTTTGAATGTCACACTTCTGGATGAGGAGGCTGTCATAAATCTTAGCTTTTGCCTTCTTCTTCTGGTAGTCCAATATGAGTGTTGTTCTGTCTCTGACTCTGTCTCTTTCTCCTTTTACAATCCACAACAGGGAGTTGACCCTGTCTCCTGCTGTTGCACTGGAAGGCCCTGACTGGATGTCAAAGCACTCGGTCTCAGGCCTCCTGGAAGGCTCCCTATTGTGGGTCCCCCAGGCACTTTTCTTGGCAGTCACCCACTGACTCCTCCTATAGCTCTGGCAGAAGCCCTAGCTTCAGGCCTCTTGGAGGGCTCTGAGGTGAACCTACACTGCCTGGCTCTGTCTCCTAGTGCAGAGAACTTCAAGGGGCTGGCTGCATCCCCCGCTGTGGCCCCAAGAGGCCAAAGCCAAGATCCTGTTGGCTTCAGGACCTGTTTACCAGAGATTAGGTAGGTTTCAGGTTCCCCTTGCATACCTCCCTCAAAGCATACCCAGGCTTCTAATAATAATAATAATAACAATAGCTAACATTTAAATAGTATTCATTACATGCCAGGCACTGTGCTAAGCACTTTACAATTATTATTTTATCTGCTTTTCACAACAACTCTGAGAGGTAGGTATTAGTATCATCCCCACTTTACAGATGAAGAAGCTGAGGCAAACAGAGCTTAAGCATCTTGCCCAGGATCACACCATTTGAGGCCAGATTTGAACTCAGGGCTTCCTGACTCCAGGCCCAGTGCACCAAATAGTTGCTGTCCATATCATTAATGTTCTCCCTTTTACATTGTTAGAGTTACTGTGTATATTATTTTCCTTAATCTGCTTACTTATGAACTTATATACTTTTGAACTTATACAGTTATAACTGATATACTTACGAATTCTTCTTCCTCAGTACATATGAGTCTTCCTTTATTTCTCTGAATCCTTCATATTTATCATTTCTTGTGGTACAATAATATTCCATTATATTAATGTATCTCAATTTCTTTAGTTATTTCCCCAAATTCAAATAGCTGCTTCTGCCTGTTGTTATTGTAATGTAGTGTATATACAGTCCCTCTCCTAGGGTCATTGTTACTCCATCACCCCTTGGGGTTCTCAGTTACTATGAGGGGTTTGTGAGCAGTATCTCCTCTTGTATTGAGCTCCCCAGTGTCTCCATGTGGAGAGATGCCAGTATAGGCACTCTAGGTGTATACCATTCAGGCAATCAGTCAATAAACATTGACCCAGAGTCTACTATGTACCAGGCACTATGCTATGCACAAAAAGAGGCAAAAGACAGTCTTTACCCTCAAGGAACTCATAATTTAATGGGGGAGACAATAAGCAAACAAATATGTATAAATAAACTATTTACAAGATAAAGAGGGAATAATTAAAAGAGGGAAGGCCTTAAAATAAAGAGGGGTGAGAAAAGGTGCCAGATCCCTATTACAAAAGAATCGTAGATTTTAAACTGGAAGAAAGTTAGTACAATCTTTTCATTTTGCAGATCAGAAAACTGAGGCCTAGAGAAACTAAGTAACTTGCCTAAGGTCACACTGGAAGTCAACTGAAGAGCTAGGATGCGAACCAGTTTAGGGCTCTTTCCACTGTAACACAATAATTTCTCACCGAAAAGAAGTATGCTGTGAGTCAGGGATTGAAACATGCATCGAACTGTACCTTCCAGACTCTGAGCTCAGAGCCTGAGGATTTTTCTCTGGCTTCACATCCTGATCTTAACTGCTTTGGTTGACGAAAGAGTTTAATGTAATTATACTGATAGATGTCAGGGAAGACATACTGCTGATCCTGATGTGTAATCTCCTAAAATTCTGTGTCTAGAGCTTTTAGCCTCAATTAACTCCACAGAAGATAATGGAGGACCATTAAAGCCCTTTCATTTTGAGTACACACAGTTATCCAGACACATTTCTTTTGTTCATTGCTGAGATGCTTCTTGGGAAAATCTGATTCTGAGCAAAGATCCCTGGATTAGAGATTGATAGATATGAGTGGTTAAAATGTTTTCCTGACTGATATAGACTTTAAAAAT